ATATATATATATATATATATATATATATATATATATATATATATATAGTAGTTCAAGCAAATATGATTTTATTGATTTTTACAGCGCCTTACTTTTTCCATTACATAGCTACTCCAGCTATGTATGACATATTTGATCTTGAACATCCATTAGCTGACTAGCATTTAGCTTGACAGTCTTCTCAGAGTTAAACTTTTCCTCCAAACGCAGGTCATTTCCCAACCCTGGTCCCTGAGGAACACCGTCCTGCATGTTTTAGTTGTGTCTCTGCTCCAACACACCTGATTCAGTGATTGAATTACTTCCTCAAGATCTGCAGAAGCCTGTAAATCACCCGTTCTTTCAAATCAAGTGTGTTGGAGCAGAGAAGCAACTAAAGCATGCAGGGTGGTGTTCCTCAAGGACCAAGGTTTGGAACCACTGATTTAAAGAGCTCTATCTACAACAGGTAAGATAATAACTATTCATCACCTTTCCACCAAACTGAAAACTCTGACCGACACAACCATCAACCTCGATGGGGTTCTAAGTGTTCGAGTCTTTTTCTCTTTTTATTTGTCACCATTCTCTTATCAACACCAAACGTTTAGAGGAACCTCAGCTTTTTTTTTTTTTATCTTATTGTTTTTATCTTCTAACTCTTGTTAAGAGAGAAACAAATGCTTTCCCCCCAAAGTGGAACTAATCCTGAACTTTGCCAGCTGTCTTAACCCTCTCAGTGTGAGCGTGTGTGTGTGTGCGCGCGTGTGTGTGTGCATGCGTGAATGTGGTTTTGCGAGAGGGATGGCAGATTTGGTGGTTAAAACGATAAAAGTTAAAAAAAACGAAGGAACCAAACTGAACTGTTTTAACACGTTTCTGTATCAAGTGTTTTAAACATGACATTTTTTAATGCAACAACGTTAACATTGTATGTGAAAGTGGACATGAACGGTTTAATGTTTTTTTAAAAAAAAGAAAATGAAATATCCAGTTTTGGCAAGAAAAATCACTTCTTTGTGCTCTATAAGCTCCAGATTATTAGAGTTGTAATGTTTGATTTGTTTTTGTTCCTTCCAACCTGAAAATGACTGAAAGTTGCCCGAAGCTTCGAGTGGATATTTCATTTTGTAAACAGAAAAACCTTCATGCGTGCTTGAGTCAACAGCAGTGTTGACATGTCATTTTTACCACACTCAGGATTTCTCTTTGAACAGTGCTTTTACACCATTTTGAAGACCTCAGGAACAAACCGATTCAGGAACATGATATCTACTCAGTAATAATTGTGGTGCTGTGTTTGTTGTGCGATTCTGATCTGTATTTGACATTACCAGTATGCCTCGACTCAACGACCTCATTGAAACCTCAGTCAGCCTCAATTTCTTGATCTCTCATTCTACCTCAGTGACATGAAAGACAGAAGATCTCCACGCAAATGTTGCCCGTCACTCCCTCAAAAGTGATACTGTACGCTCGAACGCGCATGCAGAAGCAGGTTCATCGTCAGATAGACATGTTAGAAAGGCTTTCAGGGCTACAAGCCAGCAAACAAACACACGGAGGGGTTACACTCCAGTAGACGTGTAAAACTAAAGCATCCGTATCATTTCTTTAACTGTATCTGATTTAACTGAAGTGAGACTTTGTTCTCCTGGGATGTTAATGCAGCCAATGGTTTACGACATCTTCATGAAATAATTGTCTTTTAAAACGTTGATCCTCATTTTAAAGAGAAAAACTTTTATTTTTTTGGTTTTGTTGGTCTTTTTCTTATTTTTACGTGTATTTTTTTTTTTCCTGATTCTTACACTGTACAACATTTTGTGTGACGCTCTTTAATTCATGGCAGCAAATGGTCACAGAGATGCTGAAATACATGAAATCTGTGGGTGACTTTAGCCACTGCTCATACTTGACCATACAAACAAAACACAATTGTGCTGAACTGATGGTGTGTTTTATTGCCTTTCTATTTCTTTTCTTCTTCCTTTTTTTTTTTTTTGAGTGATAGAATATATTTCAGCCTTCTTTGTACTTTACAGTTTGGCTTTAACGGATTATTTCATTTACCACTGAGATTCACGTCGGTTCAGTACAATACGCATTATTTGCTGTTAGAGCTGATTTCTAGAAAATAATTGCGTCCAATAGTTTATTATGAACTGTTTATGGTGAAACACATTGCACCATGAAATAATTTTTCAAAAATCCATTCTTGTTGTATTTAGTGCAAAGCAGAAATCCCCAAAACAAGAAGATAAAACCAGAACTATCTGCTCATCATAGGGAATAGTGGAAACCAGGGATGTTTGTGAGATTATCGCACGCAGCCATGAAAGGTGGGCAACAATGCAACCGCCTGTGTTTGAGTTTAAAATGGCCACCACTGTTAATCAAGTGTAATTAACACAAAAACTGCTATAACTCGTTCAGTTTTGCAGATACTGATTTATAAATATGCTGTGGTAGTAGCTGAAAGTCATCCCAACACATGCACTTTCCTTCAGAGTGCTACACCTTCATTTTATATTGACCTTAGTCCTCATTTGTAGCCAGCATGTTTACGTTCAGACATGAAAAATGCCAAAGATGTTGCTCTTAAAAATATATATTTATTATCCCCTTTCAACAAACAATAATCATCCTAAACTGACAGCATCTATAGAATGACTTCCACTCATAAAATATTAGAACAGTTGTGGATTTAGTTGAGAATAGCATTGGATAAAGAGGTTTTTCTGCTTCAAAGCCTGCACTGATGTAGGAAAGTAGTGGAGAGCCACTCGAGGTGGATATTAAAAAGAAATCTTCAATAAAACTTAAAAGGAGTTTAATAGTAAGAAGAAAACATTGTTAGGTAAGCATTCCTCACTGTTTAAATGGTGATATTTGTTGTAACACTGTTCATGTCCAACACATTGTTTGTCAGAGATCGTAAAGACGTGATTGTTAGATAGTTTCTGCCTTAACGCTTACAAACCTGATCATAAGTTATTTTATAAGTAACAGTTGTTTCAATTTAACAATGAGTTAAAAATGGGTGCTTTCATTGTTTTCATAAATAGAAGTAGTCATGTGTAAAGTTACTCACCTACTTATGTGGGTAAAAAAAAGTTAACTTTATTAGATTTCTTTTTATTATGCTGATCATCAATTTGGTACAGATGGTGAATGAACAGAACAATTAATCGTCATGTAATATTCTTCAAAGCCAAGGCTTTCAGGTTTGCGGTTTCCCACATTAACACCTTGACATGGTGGTGCTCTGATCACAGGAGGACAGCTGTGAAGCCCCTCAGGGTTTAGGTCCAGTCACTGAGTGCTGTTTGTTTCCCACCACAGCTGACTGTATGTGACTTGGGCTGCACATGTTCTTGCATACTAAGTGGGGAATCACAAGCATTCACTTGAGAAGCAGCTTTAACATATACACTGGGGCAGAGTTATCCACCCATGATCAAATCTGCAAAAACCCACAATTTAATACCAGCTGTACGCACTGCCTGATACCAAAATCTGGATTATGGCAGGCTGTTGTTACATATAATCAAACCAAACTTCTAATTACTTTAAATATCAAGATTTTTCCAAATAGGGAAAAATATATTTTAAAGTCCCCATTATACACATATATGGCCATGAATATGCATATGTACATATATATATATATATGTGTGTATATATATATATATATGTATATGTGTGTGTATGTATATATATATGTATATGTGTGTGTATGTATATATATATGTATATGT